CTGCTGAAACAAAAATCAATAGAAACCATCACAGAAATTATATTGGTTTCCACTACTAATACCATTACAACCATTACAAATGATCGACTTTTAATCATTAAAGCCATTGAAAATTTTTTTTCTGTAGTGATGTTTTGGGACATATTCCATTAGGGTTTAGTGGTTTTAACAAGCCACCATTAGAAGGTGACCAATTACCAGTAGAAACCCACAGGCTCCATTACAGTTTCCATTAAAACCAAAACAAGTCCCAGTATAATCAGTAAAACCATTACAAATTTTGTGATGGTGTCTATTGTTTATTTTTTCATCAGGGAAATAATGTCTTTTAAATTATATATTACATTATCAGAACAAGATATACAAAAACATGTTATGTTTTGGATCAGACATTTCCCGTCAGTCTCCTACTATCCTATGCAATAAAGACAAAAAAGAAAAAGAAAAAAGATGATTGATAAAATATATAATTTTTAATGGCTTCCATTTATTGATTTTCTTTTGCCTTCACATGAAATCACAAATTAACCTAGTTGCATTAATTCCTCTTGAATGGTTAAAATTTACCCACAAATATGTGCCAAACAATGGTAAATGTGGTTGCACCACAAGGCAGTGACATTCAAAAACTGTTTAATTGGGAATTTAATGGGACATTTTACAATTTAAACTCGTTCTCAAACTCCAAGTAGTTGACATTCATTGGCCAGGCCATTAAACACTGAGTGAAATGTTCGCAACCCTGTTACCTATGTCAGCATGGCCCAATTACTATTCATAAGAAAAACTTGTCATTCCATTTACATTGTGGGCCCCCATCTTCAAAAACTGTGCACATTTAATGACTCATTTTAAACTATTGTTTTTAAATCTCAGTTTGACTGAACTAGAGACACCAAGCAGTGTGTGGGTGCTGCTGAAGTAACTAGTGTGATGAAAACTATGAGTGAGTGGGTTCTTAAGGTGTCACCACTGCAGTGTGCATTATTGCCACAAGACTGCGACATTAGGATGGACTTTGGGGCTCTGTCACTGAATCAGAATATGATTGCATCAGGTGGCCATCTTGTTAGTGCTCTCTGAGATTGAGGCTGTCAGGAGGACGGCAATCGAGCCCCTCATTAGAGTCCACTCGATCCACACTGACAGACAACCTCCCACTACCGGAGACACAGATCTATGAAGATCCTGCTGGTGTAGGGCTTGCTCACTTGTCTCATTTAAGTCC